AGTTTCTTTGCAAAATAGAATTCTTGATGAAATAAATAAAATTAGTTTGGATCAATCAAGAAATTCTTTGTAATGAGATAAAATATAAAATCAAGTAAGTTCAAATATTTTCAATAAATATTTTCACTTAATTTTCTCTCCAAAGATGTTCAAATTGAATGCAAAGAGAGTTGGTATTTATAGATGAAAATTTGTCGTATCAGACGTTCGGTAAATACCGAATGGTCAATTTGGCCGTTATTGTTTGTCAAAAAATCAAACCGTTGAAAATTTGACCATTGGGACAAAATTTGATTGTACCCGACGTCCGTTAAAATCAATTTTGGACCGGAACGTCCTCGTTTTAGTTTTTCTCAAATGTAAGTGTTGGAGGGACGTTTAAAAATGTTTTTCAAAATATTTGTCATATTTAAAAATATGTGTTTCAATTTTTTACCTTTGAAAACATATTCTTTAAGTAAAACATTTTTGTCGTGATTTTTCGATTATAAAATCAAAACTTGAGCTCGTCACGAATCATTGCCAAGTATTGAAATGTTTTACCTTTACATATAAAAGTCTAAGTACTTTGTCTTGAATGTCTTGACGTGCATGCTTGATCATACTTCGACTTTTGTCTAGATTCTTGTTGAGACATCTTTTTGCGGGCTTTGCAATATCATTCTTCATAGTCGCGTTTGATCAATTTTGTTTTCTCGTCGAGCGTTGTATGCAAATTACTTGGCTTTGAACCTCGTGTCTTCAATTTTATTGATTTGCACTAATCACTATAGACACTCGAAATCAATTTATTAGAAATAAACACAATTTGTTTGTGATAATCAAAATGAGACTTCAACCATAGTGTAGCATGCAAATCACTTGGCCTTGAACTTCGTGCCTCAAATTTTATTGATTTGCAATAATCACTTTAGACACTCGAAATCAATTTGTTAGAAATAAACACAATTTGTTTGTGATAATCAAAACGAGACGTCAACCATAGGTCAACAATTATTTTACATGTTCAAATATAAAACAGGGGAACCCCACATTGATTCTGGAAGGTAAGTGAAGACATCGATTCCATCACTTCTTGAACTTCAAAGTCCACACAAGACATAAATAATCATACCTGAGCTTGGGGGACTGATGTTACTCATATAAATAATCGTAAACTAAACATGCCACATGGCGAATAGACAAAATTACATCTGGCATAGAAATGTGGGCTACCCGACTCGACGTATGCTGAGGCGTAATCCATTTGAAGCTATTTTGTCTGATCCCTTTGGAAGAGGTCCTCGGTATGAAACCCATCCTTAGAGAGGCAGTATGTCAACCACAGTAGACCTTGTGAAGTGATTGACAAGACAATACACTGCAAGCGCCGCCTCTACGTACCTACACTATCGGATCCTTAGCCTGCAAGTAGGGATCTTAGCATTGAATGACTTGATTGACTGATTGATTGATGTCAATAAGGACCCTTGTACCTAATATACCTACGTGCTTGGCCATCTAACCGGCTTCATTCCCTGTTACACTTAGTAACAAAAGCCACACTTAACACCATTGAAATCTAATGCAAGTTTACACATTCAAAGTAAACCTTGACTCTCTCTGCTACACTCCACAACCGACCCCTTTTTATTAACCAAATAATCACATTACAACTTGTTACACACTTTGAACCACCATCTTCATTAATTTATCAATATAATTAGTAGTTTGATTTGGGTATATCGCGATTTGGCTTACAAAGACGTAAATCTTTAATTTTCTGTTGACTACGTCATTGAACCATTTTTTGGGGTCAACACCTATACTAACCTATTCTATACGTAAATTCAATTTTTTTTCCTACTTATTAACCAAAAATTCTCCAAAAATTTATTATTCAAAATAAGATTTTTTTAAAAAAAAATATGTCCACCAAACATTGGCTTAATAAGTCAAATATTTTAGTACTTTACTTTTTAATTTATTAAAACTACGTTTAAATTGATTGATCACTAAATGTTAAATAAAATATGAAGAGAAATCAATAAATATTTCTTGAGAAAAACAAAATGAAGAGTTAAAATAGAGAGCATTGGTGGAGTACATAATTTTTTTTGTCTCTGAATTTATAGATACTCTCTACAATGCATCAGATAAATTTTATAAATAAAGGGTCCCTTGAACAATAGGGATGTCCACGATCCGAGCCGGCTCACGAGTCGAAACTCTAGGCTTGGGTTCGGCTCAAATAAAAATGATTCGGGCTTTTACTCGAGCAAAAAATTTAGAGTTGATCCGCTGATCCAGCTCACCTTTCCATTTTTTTTATAATTATAGCCAACGTGTACTGTTGCTTGCTAAACACAGACAGCTATTGCATGCAGCCGCTTGAGCAAAAGTACGTAGGTAGTTTTTTTTTAAAGGCTCGGCTAATCACTGGCCGAAAATGGCCCATGCTACTAGTCGGCATGTATAGCTAGACAAGCCACATGGGATGGCTCGAGCTCGAGCCTACGTTCCAAAATTGGGCTCGACCCGATCCTGGGCTGGTTCTATCGAGCCTGAGCCACGGGTCGCTCGAGCCGACGAGCCAAAATGACATCCTACTTGAACACGCTTTGATGTACTACATTACACTCTTTGTTAGTAATTCTACTACATATCCTAGCCTACTGCTCCGCTAGCAAATTGGTCTTAAGTTAATCCTTAAGTTTCTTTATAGTTGCACCGTCAATCTACAAATTTGGATTAAGTCATGTTTGCTACAAATTTTAAAATAATTAAGACGTGGAAAATTTTGTTTTACTTTTTCATTTTCTTAGAAATTGAAAAAAACTGAAGATGAATGCTTTTGATTGTCCATGGATTTACCCAAGTGAGATTGGAATCCGTTATAAGGCAAGATAAAAGCCAATTAAACGTTCGAATCCGGAAAATTAATGCAACCTTAATTCCTTAAATACTATAAATTTATAAAGAAGTTAATGTGAAGAGTTATAAATATTTTCTGTACATTGAAAAAAAAACATTTTTAGTAAATATTCGGGCAATTGACATCTAAAATTTATATAGATTACAAAAGAGATAGACTACTGATAAGAAAAGACACACAACGGCTGTCAATTGCATATACGATAGATGTACTGAGCGTTGGTACCAAATTAAGGTTGCTTTAAATGATCTAACTAGAACAAAGAAATAAGCGTCTGTTTGATGGCAATTTTTATCGACATTTTAATAAAATAATGGACCGTTAGCTGTCATAATTGTTGACTTCGTTCACACTACAAGTTGACATGGGACCATTTTATCCCCTATGTGGTAGAGATTAAAATCAAAATTTTTTTATAGATTTTAATAAATGTTAATAAGATGTGTGATTGAAAAGTTAAATGTGTAGTTAAAATTAATTATTGACTTTGATTTTTAATTCAAACCAAACGAGGCTTGCAAACACAATATCTAAAAAGGATATAACGATTTATATGTATGACATATTTATTATGTTAGCCATGCGATTTAGGATCATTCTTGTATCCTGTGCAAAGGAAAAATTTTGTTTAGTTCGACATTACGCACCCATCACTTCGATTAAATTAATTATGGGTTCTCATTTCATCAGAGGATACAAATAATTGTCGCATAGAGGCCTTAGATCTTGGCTTTGCAGATTACGCCCTTATCCTGCTCAAAACCATAATGAACAAAAAATAGAATCAAGAAACAAGCTAAAAACCCACATAGTATAGTCGTTCACATTCAACGTGAGAGTTAATACATGTATAGAATGCTTAACATACTCTTCGAACGTAACATTTAATTTGGTTTAAAATTTCACAATAACACTTAAGTCGAAACCTCTTAAATATAAACGTTACAATATTAATATAGGGTACCACTATTTTCATCCACATTTTTTATATATCTATCCCACTCTTAGTTCATTGCTATTAAAATTTTAATTTTTTTTTTAAAAATAGTATTTTCATCCACGTCATATTCTAATTTTGTCCTTAATAATTTTATTCATTTAAATACTATATATCCACATGAATTTTATATATTCTTTCCACTTTAAATTTTATATCTCTAACACTATATATCCACATGAATTTTATATATTTATCCCACTTTAAATTGAAATCTATTTCCCAGTTGACAAAATTTCAATTTTATATATATGCACACGAATTTTATATATATCTCATTTTATGTGTTGATGTATCCTACATTAAAAGTGTAGTGTCAAATAATGTCAATGGCATAAACTCAAAAATAAATAAGATAACAACTAAAACATCACGTAAGCATGCGAAATAGCACATGTATTGGAACTTTTCCAAAAACTCGTGAAGAAACCCACTACAATTTTGAGAAAATGAAAACAAAGCAATTCTTACTCACATTTGGACGTCAATAAAATACCTAAAATGTTCATCAATCTCCACCTTTAGAATTGGCTTTCTTCCTCTCTTGACTGCCGACCAGCCCAATTAGTTGTTAGGCGTCACTCTAGAAAGAACAAGGTAAAATTTGATGTTAGAAAAAATGACAAAAAAATAATAAAAAAAAGCACGGGAAATGCAAGTGTCAATAATTAACTTAAATAGAGATGTCAAGATGTATGAATAGTCAATAATTATATTTTATTAATATTAATATTAAAGTTTGAATTGATAGATTATCCAATGAGTTATTTTCTAATTTTATATCTAGATGCGGTTAGGTTATTTACTAATTTGGTTAATTATAATATTCTTAAACTCTGCATATAGTTCACATAAAAAAGGGTAGCGTGCATCTTGTTAATTAAATATTGACAATAAACCGATAAGAAATATAATTCTGAATTAGTTTGATTATTTAATTATTCGTTTTTAGTGGTCTTGCTCGATGGATTTGTACGTCATTCCTATGTCTAATAAGTTGTGCCTGGATACATTTAATTTCAGTGCTCAATTATTTAAAAAAATATTTTATGGAATTCATTGTTAGGAGAGAGAAAAAGAAAATTATTGTTAGAAATTACTTAGCTTGTGGAATCGAGACATGAGATGAGACGTACCTGGTAAAAACCCAAAACTTTCAGATGGACGATATTGAACTAGTCGTTGAAGGACATTGTTGGCATTGTGATGGGGCCACTCCAATGATTCCCACCATTCTTTATCTCTTTCGTCTATCTTGATTGTTCTAAGACGTGGGGGAGGAGATAGTTGTCTGTTGAGAAACGGTAAATATAAAGGCAATTCCTTTATATTTTTAATTCCCCCCAAACAAATGGTCTCAATGTTATTCCAAATCATCTTTCCTTTGCAGATGCTCTTTAGTTGTGACAGATTATGCAGCAACAAACCCTTTAACATTGGCAATGTGATATCAGCTTCTTCTATTATCTCCTCCATTTGTTCACAGTTCATGACAATCAACGATCGGAGGTTATGGAAATTATGTACCAGACTTTGAGGGAAAAGCTTCTTGATTTTACCACAACCATAAATAGTCAACTCTTTGAGACAGGAAAATGTGCCAGGTGGAAGAGGTACAACTGCTTCCCACTTGAAGAGACCAATTAAATTTGGCAAGTCTCTCAGTACCAAACTTTCAAGGCTTTGGAATGGGACCCAACTAAATTCTTCCTCCAACCTCATAATGCACTGTATTTTATCCTCCTCATATATTTTGCATTCTCTAACAGAATTCGGAATTGGACATTCATCTAATAAGCAACCCCTCAAGCCACTGGCTATAAAGAATAAATTCTCAATATCTTGTGGCAGCATAATCCCATCTGCATCTAAAGAGTATTCCATGAGACTCTTTTCTCCAAAAATTAAATATTTACCGATTGAGAAATTGAAAGGTAATGGGTCTTTGAATTCTAGAGAACTTAATTTAATATTGTAGGAAAGGAATTGCTTGTCACTTTGTCGTGAGTTGATTAACCGATTGAGATCATGTAGATCACGTACGCTATTTAACCTGCATCGAAGTACTTCCAACTGTTTCAATGCCTTAACTTCTTCTATTGGTACTTCAAAATAATATGGCAACTCGAGCTGCTGAAGATGTGTGAGTCTATACAAAGTCCCTGGTATCATGTTAAATGTGCTATTTAACAAAGATAGGCGTTTGAGGTTGGTTAAGCTTTCCATACCTCGGGGAATTTCTTCAAGATGAGTACGTGAGAGGTCCAAATGTTTCAATACCTTGAGCTTTTCCAATGATGGCACTGATTTCAATTTCCGACAACCATCGAGCAATAATGCATTAAGTTTCTCCAAGTCTGATATGGAATTTGGCAAGCTCTCAATATCAGTTCCATTTAAATTGAGAGTGCGTAACCCACACATATGCGTAAAGAAACAATCTGGAATCGACCGCAGAGGATTGCTGCTCAAGATCAAGGTGGAAAGACTTGGACACTTGGGTGACGTGCCAGGTGAAATTTCCTCTATAGAGTTGCGCATCAAGGAAACCTTATCCAAATCTTCTGTCCACTCTTGCTCCTCTGGTAATTCCTTTAAGTGAAGTCCAGCTTTTACCATGTACCTCGGTTTCTCTTTAGTGAGCCGTATTGCCATCTCTCTGATTAAATCATGCATCTTCAGCCTCATACGTGAATCACTTTCCAATAAGCAGGCTCTCACCAATTGATTTAGTATTGCATGACCTTGGTCGATTTCAGCTTGCCGGCTTGATCTTCGCTCTATCAGCTCTTCTGAAATGTAATGTCCAATCAATCCGTCTCTTGAAAAATAAGAATCTTCAGGATACAAGGAGCAATACAAAAAACAATTTTGTAGCCTTGTATCTCTCAACCGATGATAACTATACAAGAGAATTGGCAAAACCTCATCTTCCATGTCAGCTCGTCCCAAACATGATTCTTTAAGTCCCTCCAATGCATCTCTCCATTCATGAATGTCAATCACGCTTCTCATGCTTCCAGCCAATGTGATGAGTGCAAGTGGCAAACCATCACATCTATTTACCATTTTCTTGCAAATCTCTTCTACTTCCACAGATTGTTCATCACGATCAAGTGTCTTCAAGAATAGGTTCAAAGCTTCTTGCTCGGAAAGTGTGTTCACTTTTATAATCTTTTTGCAGCACATACTACGACAAACTTCTTCCGATCGACTTGTTATGACCAACTTGCATCCATCCCTTTTAGAAGGAATGCCTATCTTCTCTACATCAATTCGTTTCCAAACATCATCCAGTATAAGTACAAATCTCTCCGTTTTCTGGAATTCCCGGAAGAGTTTAGCTGCCCTTCTACCCTCATCATTCTCGCATGTTATATTTAGATTCAGCAATTCGGCAATGTCACTTTGCAATTTGGAAATGCTGAACTCGTGAGAGACGGTAACCCAATAAACATGACCCGAGAATGTGGATTCCTTCAAGAGCTTATCATGGACATGCCTTGCCAGAGTCGTCTTGCCTACTCCCCCCATTCCGTAAATGCCAATGCTTACGACGTTCACATCCATTAACGATGTCCAAATGTCATCTACATTTTGTTGAAATGCTTGGCCAGTCAGTTGGGGTATCAACGATAACCGGTCAATACTCTCATCAACCTCAAGAAAATGCCCGCTAGGAAATTCACCTTGGGCAAAAAGCCCCGTCACTTGTTCGGTCATTCTTTCAAGCTGTTCAGCCAACTTTTGTCGTTTGAAAACATGATAAAATCTGCTGCTTTGTTGTACTCCTTGTTCCAAGGTTTCAAAATCTTTTATAATGTTTTCAACATCAGTCATCCAACCTTCAACCTCTCTCTTGCGTTTTTTTCCAGAATGACATGCCGCATTTTGTAAGTTTTCGTGCACATCATCTTTTCGACTTTCCAGTGATCGTATTTTTCTTTGAAGAGACAGTGTGTTTTCCTCCAAGTTTCGGCATAGCAGTGCAACAAAGCCCGGGAATATCCCCGCAACAATTTCTAACAGCTTATCCATGTGGCTTCATGCAAATATCATCCAATATTGTTTTATATACACAGTAAAAAAGACAGAATTTTAACAGAACAAGTTCAATTTTTCATCGGTTTTGGACCCAATAATCCCAGAAAATGCACCATATAGATCTGGGAATTATTTTCCGTCCAAACTCAATCAAGACAAAATGGTGTACAAAGGGGTGTCCAAAATGGCCACTTTTACAAGAGGCATTATCCTTAATTTATTTCGAAGTATGTCAACTTTTACAGAAACTTAAATTAAGAGATAATTCACTATTTATATACTATTTAAATTTAAAAACTGCTCTATTTTATTTATGCCTATTTAAGTAAATTTACATATGATTTAAAATATAATAAAATTTTATTTTCAAAAGTGGATGTATATATATAAAAAGTGTGAATAGAAATAGTGGTACGCATAGTAAATTTGTCTCGATACAAGCTTAACTAATAAATTAATACAAATTCAACCATGAAATTTAACTTTACGATTTCATTGTTTAAATAATAAAACTATTATCTTATCAAATCATTGTTTTTCTAAAGAATCCGTAGAAGCAGACTATCAATTAATCTTTTCAGATATAAATTGATCTAATAAATAATATATATTTGGTTTCCAGTGTATTATAACTATCTAAACCAAAATTACATAAAATCAAATCAATGGATTCAATGTGTGTGGACTTTTTCTCTAGAGGGGAGTTTGTATTATTTTTAACAATATGAATATACAATACAAATCTTCTTTAATCTTATGGATCCGTTTAATGGAGTTGCATAATTATTTGCAAGAAAAGAGAAGGGAGAACTGCATGAATATGTCCCCAAACTTTCACCCAATATACAACTTGGTCTCCATCCTTCCAAAAGGATTAGATAAATCAAAGATATGTTCAAAATGCATTTTTGAATAATTACATGAATAAAAATCAAATTTAAAAATAAAGTTTTAAAATTCTAAAATGATAAAAAATTTTGAAGAGAAATTCAAACATTCTAAAAATAAAATCTAAAATCTATCCCTTTTAAAAGGAATGCCTATAAAATAAAAAATTGAAATGCTTATCTAATAATTAAAATCTAAAATCCAATCTTTTTAAAGGTTTCCTTGATTTAGGTTGATAATTTACATCCCTAGAAACCTCTATGCTACACATAATTACACACTTACAAAAGGATTAGATAAATCAAAGATATGTTCAAAATGCATTTTTGAATAATTACATGAATAAAAATCAAATTTAAAAATAAAGTTTTAAAATTCTAAAATGATAAAAATTTTTGAAGAGAAATTCAAACATTCTAAAAATAAAATCTAAAATCTATCCCTTTTAAAAGGAATGCCTATAAAATAAAAAATTGAAATGCTTATCTAAAAATTAAAATCTAAAATCCATCCTTTTTAAAGGTTTCCTCGATTTTGGTCGATAACTTACATCCCCAGAACACATCTATGCTACACATAATTACACA